GAATGTTGAAATGGCAGAATTTTAAGTATTGTCAACTTTCTTGACACCTACCCCAGAGATGACATCCATGTCATGAGATGCAGCTGGGAGCTCATCATCCCTGCTGAGCTGTCCCAGGATAAAAGAGGTGTCTGGTTCCATAATGGAATATGGTTTTCTCTGGGGTGATCAGCATTTTTCAAATTCAAATTCAGTAGTGACATTTTTTTTTTCCTCCCTGAGGCTTGTAACTTCTCTTCAGGCTCCAGATGAGGTAAACATCCCCGAATTTAACCATTTGTGATTGGCTTAGGCTTCAGTAAGATGCCTCAATCTAAGTTCAGTGGGGGTTCTTTACTTTTTAAAAAATGAAATAATAACAACCTATATTTCTATAGGACTTCAAGGCTTACAAAATGTTTTCCTTATAACAACCCTGTGAAGTAGGTAGTACAAGGACTATCACCCTCATTTTAGGGATGAGAAGAATTTAAATGACAGGCCCAAACAGGCTAGCCTAAGCCAGAATCTGAACCCTGGTGTCCTAATTCCAGTGCTATTATGGCGCATTGCCTTGGGAGGAAGAGAGAAGCAGTATAATAGAGTGGAGATAAAGTACTGGATTTAGAAGAATTGGGTTCAAATTCTGCCTTAGATATGTATATAGACAGATAGATATAGATAGATCAATCTATATATAGATCTATGCACAGATCTCTCTCTCTGTCTCTATCTATATTAGCTATGTGGCCCTAAGAAAGGAACCTCCCTGGGGTTCAGTTTCCTCATCTGTAAAATGAAGAGCTTAGATTCAATAGCCTCAAAGGTCCATTTCAGCTCTAAACCTATGATTCTACAATTTAAGAGCTGAGTTCAAGTCTTTCTTCTGACATATTTAGGCTGTCACCCTGGGCAGGTTACTTAACCTCCGTGGGGATCAGTTTCCTCCTTTGTAAAATGAGAGGCTTGGATTCCATGACCTCTAGGATTCTTTACAACTCTAAACTTATGATCCTGTCACTGATAAAACTCTCCCAAGTATGTAAAGAGGAAAAGGAGGAGAGGTAGGATTGCTTTAAAATATGCACATTCTTTTAAGGTCTAGTCAGTCTTCCAGGGAATGTGCTTTCTTGACACCCTAGTTGTGGTTCATAATTGGGCACCATTATTTGGGATAGGGGCAGCTAGGTGGTGCAGTGGATAAAGCGTTGGGCCTGGACTCAGGAAGCCCTGAGTTCAAATCTGCCCTCAGACACTTACTAGCAGGGTGATCCTGGGCAAGTCACTTAACTCTGTTTACTTCAGTTTCCTCATCTGTAAAATGAGCTAGAGGAAATGGTAAACCACTCCAGTATCTTTGCCAAGAAAACCCCAAATGGGGTCATGAAGAGTTGTAAGTGACTGAAGAACAACTTTGGAACAGGGGGCACCTGAATTGGCTTCAAGGGATAGGATAGAATTTAAAAAGTGAAGATGCATTAGTGGGAATAGGGTGGGTAGGGGGTACATAAGGCACATTCAGGCATGTAGAATCGTGTAAGTAAAGATGGGCAGGCGATACGTTTGAGGTACAGGGTAGACTTATTGTTGTTTAGTTGTGTCTGATTTCACATGACTCCATGCACATGTCCATGGGGTTTTCTTGGCAAAGACACCGAAGTGGTTTGCCATTTTCTTCTGGAGCTGTGTCCCCATTTTTACAGAAGGGGAACTGAGGCAAACAGGAGTAAAGTGACTTGGCCACACAGCTGATGTCTGAGGTTGGATTTGAACTCAGATCTTCCTGACTCCAGGCTCAGTGCTCTATCCACTGCACCACATAGCTGCCCCATAGAGTAGATTAGCTTGGCAACTAGGGTTGATGGGTAGGTGGGGGGTTGGGACTTAGCCATAGTAATTAGGACAATTAGAAAACCTTACTAGATTGTAAGAACTTTGAAGACAGGGGCAGTGTTTTATTTATTTTTGTATCACTTCTCTCGTTTCTTATTTTCTTTTTTTTTTTTTTAATTTTTTTTTGTTTTTAACAAGTGTTTTTAAAGCTTTGGGTTACAAATTTTCTCCCTTCCTCCCTCCCCACTCACCCTCTTTGAAAAGGCAAGCGTCTTGGTACTGGTCATAGATGTGTAGTCATGTGAAACACTTCCATAGTAGTCCTGTTGTGAAAAACTAAGTATATTTCCCTTCATCTTATCCTACCCCCCATTTATTCTATTTTCTCTTTTGACCCTGTCCCTCCTCAGAAGTGTTTGCTTTTGATTATCCCCTCCCTCAATCTGCCCTCCCCTCTATCAACCCCCTGTTCTCTTGTCCCCTTCCCCCCATATTTTCCTGTAGGGTAATACAGATTTCCATACCCCATTGTGTATGTTATTCCCTCCTTAAGCCAAATCCTATGAAAATGAGATTCACTCATTCCCTCTCACCTTCCCTCATTTCCCCTCCACTATAAAAGCCTTTTCTTGTCTGTTTCATGTGAGATATTTTACCTCATTCTCCTTCTCCCTTTCTCCTTCTCCCAGTATAATCCTCTCTCACCCCTTATTTTCCAAATATCACCCCTTCATCTTCAACTCACCCTGTGCCCTCTATCTATCTATACAAACATATAATTTTTTCCTTCCCACTACCCTAATACTGACAAAGGACTCATGAGTTACAAATATCATCATTCCCTGCAGCAATGTAAACAGTTCAACCTTAATAAGTCTCTTATGATTTCTCTTTTCTGTTTACCTCTTCCATGTTTCACTTGAGTCTTGTATTTGAAGGTCAAATTTTCTATTCAGCTCTGGTCTTTTCCACAGGAATGCTTGAAAGTTCCCTATTTCATTGAATGACCATCTTTTACGCTGAAGGATTATACTCAATTTTGCTGGGTAGGTGATTCTAGGTTGTAGTCCTAATTCCTTTACCCTCCGGAATATCATACTCCACGTCCTCTGGACCCTTCATATAGAAGATGCTAAATCTTCTGTTATCCTGATTGTGTTTCCACAGTACTTGAACTGTTTCCTTCTGGCTGCTTGCAATATCTCCTCCTTCACCTGGGAATTCTGGAATTTGGCTACAATATTCCTAGGAGTTTTCCTTTGGGGATCTCTTTGAGGAGGTGATCAGAATATTCTTTCAATTTCTATTTTGCCCTCTGGTTCTAAAATATCAGGGCAGTTTTCCTTGATATTTTCTTGAAAGATGATGTCTAAGCTCTTTTTTTGATCATGGCTTTCAGATAGTCCAATAACTTTTAAGTTCTCTCTCCTGGATCTATTTTCCAGGTGAGTTGTTTTTCCAATGAGATATTTCACATTCTCTTCTATTTTTTCATTCCTTTTGATTAGTGTTACAGTGCCTTGATTTCTCAAATTGTTACTAGCTTCCAATTTCTCCATTCTAGTTTTTAAGGAAGTATTTTCTTCAGTAAGCTTTTGGACCTCCTTTTCCATTTGGCCAGTTTTGCTTTGTAGGGCATTCTTCTCCTCATTGGCTTTTTGGACCTCTTTTGCCATTTGGGTTAGGCTATTTTTTAAGGTGTTATTTTCTTCAGTATTTTTTTGGGTCTCCTTTAGCATCACTCTCAGTTTTTCCTCTACTTCTCTTACTTGCTTCTCAAAATCCTTTTTGAGTTCTTCCATTGCCTGGGACCAATTCATATTTTTCTTAGAGGCTTTGGATGTAGGAACTTTGGCTTCGTTGTCTTCTTCTGGTTGTATGTTTTGATCTTCTTTGTCACCGAAGTAAGATAATTCTGACTCTTTTTTGCACTGCTTGCTCATGATCTCAGCCAATTACTTGAGTTATAGACTTTTTGTTAAGGTAGAGGGCTGTTTCCAGTGTGGAGAATGTACTGTTCCAAGCTTCAAGGGTTTTGTGCAGCTGTTTTCAGAGATACTTCTAGGGACCTGCAAATTTTCAGTTCTTCCAAGGTGCTATGATAAGGGGCGAGGTGTTTACTCCTTTCCTGGTCTGTGCTCTGGTCTATGAGCACTCTCTTCTGTCTTGTGAACCATGAGGAGGGTTTCCTCTCCACAGCCACTACATGCTCCACCATGCCAGCACTCCTCCTTGCCCCAGGACCGCCACCCAGAACTGTGATCCAGATCCAAGCACGGGCAAAGCAAGAGAATCCCACACCAGCAGAGAGATCCCTGCAATCCCCCTCTGATCAGCCACTCGATTCCCCCTCAGTCTGTGGGCCTGGAAGCTCAGGAAGCATCTGCTGGCCCAAGGAATGGGGCTGAGATCCTGTGCTCCTCTCTCACCACTGCAGTCACAGACTTTTCCCACTGACCTTCTAAGTTGTCTTTGGCGTTCGTGGGTTGAGAAGTCTGGAAACCACCACAGCTGCCCACGATTCAGTCCTCTGAGGCCTGCTCCAGGTTCTCTGAGGCCTGCGCGCCCACGCCAAACTGCGCTCCTCTCCCAGTCTGGAGCGATATACCTTTCTGATCAACCAGGCTGTCTTTGGCTGGAAATTTGTTTCACTCTGTCTTTCTGTGGGTTTTGCTGCTTTAGAATTTGTTTAGAGACATTTTTTATAGGTATTTGGAGGGGTTTGGGGGAGAGCTCAAGCAAGTTACTGCTTTTACTCCGCCATCTTGGCTGCACCCCCATCTCTCATTTCCTATTTTCATCTGGTCACCAGAGTGCCATTTAATGTTCTTAAAAGCAAGACACATTCTCTTCTACCTTGGATAATTTTAATAGGTGGATTGTGCTGAAAGGAAGGTGGGGGAAAAGGTAAAGAAGGAGGGCTCTAGGTTTAAGCCACTCTAGCCATGCAGACAAACTACACGCTTTGTCACTAACATGAGATTAACCCCAAGTCCCTGTAATTTCCTACAAAAATCAAACTTTAGATCCAGAGACAGTTGACTTAAAAACTTGAAATTCTTCTCGCCTAAGGCTCCAGGATAAGGGACAGGAGAATCCAGCTTACTTTTGGTTAGTGTAGGCCTGAAACAGACCCAAAGACTGCTCTGTTAAAGTCTCAGCTGTTCCCTCCCTTGTAGAGGACTTACCTATCCCCAGGTTAGAGATGTTTTCAAGCTCTTTAAAGTTGCTGGCTTCCAAAATCGCCTGAGGCAGTCTTAAGGTGAAGGGCAGCAAATCTCTGTACAGGCACACACGCGGGAGGAGGGGGAGGGAGTGTGGGGAGAGAGAAGGGGAGAAGAGAAAAATACATGGGAAGAGATGAGGAACTCATAAATGGCAGATGGTCCCTAAGGTCCCCTCTATTCTAACAGCCTTTCATCTTCTAACAGCCTTTCTAGTGTTAATAATATCCCAGTGACTCTTCGAGCCATAGCATTTAGGGTTTGACATTCTAATACGTTATGTTCTAAGGTACATTTCATGCCAAAAGTCTAATGAATCTATGAATTCCTTCGCTGTCAGGAATAATAGTAACAGTTCCATTTCTTTTGACAGCCCTAGTTGTTAGTTTTGTTTTGTTTTGGGTCAAATAAAGCCTACATCTGCCTCTCTGTAGCTTTCACCCACTGATCCTAGCTCTGTCCTCTGGGGCCAAGCCAAACCAGTCCAATTCATTCTCCACACGGTAGCCCTTCAAATACTGGAGAACAGCTACTATGTTCCCCGTGGTCTTTGTTTCGCTAGGCTAAATTGCCTCATTTTTTCAACTGATCCTCATATGTTGTGATCTTGAGTCTCCTCACCACCCAGGTCAGCTTCATTTATTGCACTCACATGTATCAATATCCCTTCTAAAATGTTGCTTCCCAAACAGAGTGCAATATTCCAGTTATGGGATTATTAATGCCCATGTTATGGGGATTGTACATCTCTTAATGTAATCTAAGATATGGAAAGAAAAAAGGATTTATTAAGCATCTACAACATGCCAGGTACTATGCTAAGCACTTCACAAATATTACTTCATTTAATCTTCATAGCAACCCTGGGAGGTAGGTACTATTATTATCTCATTTTACAGTTGAGGAAACTGAAGTGACTTGCCTAAGGTCACACAGCTAGTAAATGTCTGAAGCTGCATTTGAACTTAGGTCTTCACAGCTCCAGGCTTAGTACTCTATCCACTGCATCACTTTACATATGATCAACTTTTTTCCCCCTCCTTGCCGGTTTGCACTGTTGACTCATTTTGAACTTGCAGCCCACTAAAAAACTCTTGGATTTTCAGCGGAATAGATTCTTTTTCCATGCCTCTGCCATATCTATTCTGAACTTGCGAAGTCGGCTTTTTGAACCCAAGAGTAAGATTTTAATTTTTCTCTATTAGATTTCATCTTATTGGATGGATTTGATCCATCATCCTAGCCTGTCAAGGTCTTTTTAGACCATGATTGTGTCATTCAACATATCAGCTCCTCCTCCCAGCAACCCCTTTAGGCCTCGATGTCAGGGACTTTCCTACTGAATCTATTTGTATCCCCAGTGCTTTGCTCATATTAAGCACCAAATAAATGCTCTTTTCTTCACAGTTGGATGGTGCAGTGGTTAGAGCACCGGACCTGGAGTCAGGAAGACTTCAGTTAAAGTCAACATTGGATACTTCCTAGCTGTGTGAGCCTGGACAAGTCACTTAACCTCTTCCTGCCTCAGTTCCCTCATCTATAAAATAGGAATAATAGTAGCACTCACTTCTCAGGGTTGTTGTAAAGATCAAATGAGATAACCTATGTGTGGTGCCAAAGAACTGAAAATTGAGGGGCTGCTCATCAATTGGGAATGGCTGAGTAAGTTGTAGGGTATGATTGTGATGGAATACTACTGTGCTGTATGAAACGATGAGTAGGTTGATGTTAGGAAAACACGGAAAGACTTAGATGAAATGAGCAGAACTAAGAGAATGTTGTACACAGAAACAATAATACTGTTTGAAGAGTAAATGTGAATGACTAAGCTGTTCTGAGTTATGGGAATATTCAGATCAACTACAAAAGACTTATGAAGGCCAATGATACCTACCCCCAGAAAAAGAATTGCTATATAGAACTATCTATTGTATAGCTTCATATATATATATATATCTCTGTATCAAAGGTTGGCTTTCTCTAGTGTAAGATTGGAAGGGAGGGAGGGAAATAGTTTGGATGTCAAATGTAATAAAAATAAAACAAAATATTTTTAAAAAGATAACATATGTAAAGCACTTTACAAACCTTAAAACACTATTAAGTGCTATTTCCTTCCTTTTTCTCTCTGTCTTTCCTTCCTTCCATCCTTCCTTTTTTCTTCTATGTCTTTCTTTCTCTATAATTGATATATAGAACTATCTATTGTATGGTTTCACATATATATCTGTATCAAAGTTTGGCTTTCTCTAGTGTAAGATTGGGAGGGAGGGAGGGAAATAGTTTGGATGTCAAATGTAACAAAAATAAAATAAAATATTATTAAAAAGATAACATATGTACAGCACTTTACAAATCTTAAAACACTATTAAGTGCTATTTCCTTCCTTTTTCTCTCTCTCTTTCCTTCCTTCCATCCTTCCTTTTTTCCCCTCTATGTCTTTCTTTCTTTCTTTCTTTCCTTCCTTCCTTCTTTCTTTCTTCAGTGGATGTATATTTATCAGACAATTAAGTCAGGACATGCTCTTTAACATGACACTTGGAAAATATCTGCTGAGAGACTGCAAAGGAAAATAATGATTTTTTTCTCTCGAATAGAAGTCTTTGCCTGGTGTCTCTGGGAATCAGTGTAAGCAGGAATTCAAGCCCTTGTTGCCTGAGGTTGAGGAACAGGAGGCAGACTTCACTGGAGAGGGGCAGGAGTTGTTGTTGTTCAGTTATTTTCAGCTGTGTCCAACTCTTTGTGATCCCATTTGGGGTTTTCTTGTTAGAGATACTGGAGTGGTTTGCAATTTCCTTCTCCAGCTCATTTTACAGATGGGGAACCTGAGTTACACAGGGTTAAGTGACTTGTCTAGGGTCATACAGCTAGTAAGTGTATGAGGCCAGATTTGAACACTCAGGAAGATGAGTCTTCCTGACTTCAGGTCAGGAGCTTATCTACTACACCAAAGATGGAAACCCAGAGATGAAACTGCTTATGGGTCCACAGACTCATTTCCAGCTCCTCCACCTACCACCTGTGTGACTTTGGACGAATCACCTTGTCTTTTGTACCTCAGATTCCTCATGTTTAAAAAACGGGATACTACCTACCATGACTAACTCCCAGGGTTCTTTGAGGTTTGGAAGAGAAATTAGAGCCCTTGTTCACCATTCACTTACTGAAGACTTTTATTTCTTTCTTCCTTTCCTTTTCATCAGCCATAAACATAAAATCAGACTTCCAGAATTAATGTGAAATAATAAGAATGGCTGTGAGAGGTACTGTTAGCATAGTGGATAGAGAGCCAGGATGGGAGCTGGGAAGAGCTGAATTCATATTCTATCTCTGAAATACACTGCCTGTGTGACCCTGAGCAAGTTACTCATTAACCTCTCACTGCTCTAGGAACTCCTCTAAATTTGCAGACAAGGTGCTTTCCTGCATTGGTAGAGGGATATTTCTCACTTCAGAGTTCTCTCCAGCACCAAGTCTAGCCCCCAGCCTAATAATAGTTTATATTTATAGAAGGCTTTAGAGTTTATGACATGTTTTTCTCACAAGAACCCTGGAAAGTAGGCAAATGTTACTATCCCCATTTCACAGAAAGTGTTTCACACTTTCATCTTACCTAGCCAAAGTTAAATATACATTGGCCACTATTTAGTTTCACAGATGGGCCAATGAGTCATTGGGGTACCTACCAACTACTCCTGAATGAAGGAAGCACTACTCACTTTTTTTTTCTTGACTTACTGTCTTAATGTTTTGACTTACTGTCAGGTTAACAATGAAAAGTATACCCTAGATGACTCTAAAGCACTCTTCATTACTGGACTGAACTAATTATGAGGCAATGTGGTATAGCAGGAAGAACATTGGAAACGATTTTGAGCACCAGTTGGGGCAGCTAAGTGGCAAAGTAGAGTGCTGGGCCTGCAGTGGGGAGGAGCTGAGTTCAAATCTGGCCTCAGACACTTATTAGCTGTGCAACCCTGGGCAAGTCACTTAACTCTTTGCTTCAGTTTGCTCATCTGTAAAATGAGCCTAAGGTAATAGCAATACACTCTAGTATCTTTGCCAAGAAAACCACAAATTGGGTCATGAAGACTCGGACCCAACTAAACAACAAATTTGAAACTTATTATATGTGTACCTTGTGCAAATTACTCCCTCTCTCTGGGCCTTATTTCCTCCACCTGTAGTACAAGGGGGTAGAAGATCTTTAAGGTAATTTTCAATTCCAAAATTTAAGAGATAAAATATACTTTAACGTTTATAAAGTACTTTACACACATTATCTCGTTTGATCCTCAAAATTAAATAGTGTGGTGGGGACTAAAAGTATTAGCTCCATTTTGCAGATGGGGATACTGAAACTCAAGCTAGTAGCTGTCAGAAGTGGAATTCAAATCTGCCTGTGTAGAAAATGTGAGGTGGTGGAGTATTAGCCTTTGGGGAGAGGGAAGCTGCTCCCTAGCATCATGACTCAGGGTGGGAACTTACTAAGGTTAAAATAGAAACATGACTCATATATAAGATGATGTTCAGTTGTGTCCAACTCTCCGTGACCCCGTTCGAGGTTTTCTTGGCAAAGTTACTGGAATGGTTCACCATTTCCTTCTCCAGCTCGTCTTACAGATGAGGAAACTAAGACAAGCAGGGTTAAGCCCAGGGTCACACAGCTAGTAAGTATCTGAGGCCAGATTTGAACTCAGGAAGATGAGTTTTCCTGACTCAGGGACTGGCCCTCTAGCCACTGCACCACCTACCTGCCTTGCTCATACACATATAGTCGCCACCTAATTCCTCCTATCATCATGGCAAATCGGGTTGGACTATCTCTCTCCCCTTCCCCAAATCCTTATGCCTCCATGTTGGCTTTTTGTGACTTCTTTTTCCCCTTCAAAGCAGTCTCATAGTTGATTCTAAACTAGTGACTGTTTTTCATGTTATGAGACCCCTTTGGCTGTCTGGTGGAGCTTTTTGACCCCTTCTCAGAATAATGTTTTAAATGTGTAAAATATATAAATATAACATGTAATATTATATATTGTAATACATAAGATATAAATATAATATATATAAAATAGGATTTATAGTATTACAAAGGAAACCAATTATGTTTAAATACAGTTATTAAAACATCATTGATACCAGGCTAAAAATCCCAGTTTTACTACACTTTTATCTAGAGAAACATACTGAAAGATGGGGAAGCATGAAGGACCCCAGATCTTGATTTAAAAGAGACCACAGGGGCAGCTAGGTGGCACAATGGATAGAGCATTGACCCTGAAGTCAGGAGGACCTGAGTTCAAATCCGACCTTAGACCAAACACTTGACACTTACTAGCTGTGTGACCCTGGGCAAGTCACTTAACCCCAATTGCCTTAAAAAAAAATTAAAAAAAAAAGAGACCACAGGTATCATCTAGTCCAATCCTCTTATTTTACAGATGAGGAAACTGAGGTGCAAAAGGTCAAGTGACTTGTCCGAGGTCACACAGGTAGTAAGCATCCAAGACAGTGTTTGAACCAATGCCTCATGATTCCAGGGCCAGTACTCTTTCCACTCACTATACCCGAGTCTGCTATGGATAGCCTCAATTCTATTACCTTCCTTAGTGATAGCTCTGATGGCCTAGTTTTGTCAGTGATTAGAAGATTAATTACTCATTTTGCAGGACAGTACATGTATAATCTATATCAAACTGCTTGCCTTCTCAAGGAAGGGGGAGGGAAAGGAGGGAGGGAGAGAATTTGAAACTCAAAATTAAAAAAAAGAATGTTAATTTTTGTTTACATTTAAATGAGAAAAAAAAAGATTAATTACCTCTACGGACAAAAGGGAGGGGTGGCTGAGTTCCACTTACCTACTGACACAGTAGAAAGCTATCAGTTTGAAGATATCTTCAAATACAAGAACAGATCCTTCCAGGTACAGGACTGAGGAGAGACAGAAAAAGCTTTTCAGTAAATGCTTTCCTTTAGTGATAAGAGATGGGGGGAAGAGGGGACACAGGGTATAAGGGTAAGGTATAAGGAAACAATAATGCTTCATTTCTCCACTGAAGTCCTTTTCTGATGCCTCCACTGGTGGTATGTAGGGGACCCTGGTTCTTGAAGGCTTTTCCAGTAGATTTCATTACACTGTGAGCTCTTTTGAGAGTAGGGATTGTCTTTTGTCTTTCTTTGTGTCCCCAACAGTGGCACATTAATAAATGTGTTTTGACTGACTGAGTACAGGCCTTGTACCATCCTATTAAATTAGAAAGGACTGTGGCATTATAGATTTAGAGCTGGGAGAGATCTTAAATGTCATCTAATCTAATCAATCAATAACATTTATTAAATGCCTACAATGTGCTGGGGGCAGCCAGGAGTTGCAAGGGATAGAGCAACAGCTCTGGAGTCAGGAAGATGTGCCTTCAAATCCGGCCTCAAATAATAGTTGCGTGACCTTGGGCAAGTCATTTAACCCTGTTTGTCTCAGTTTCCTCATCTGTAAAATGAACTGGAGAAGGAAATGGCAAACCACTCCAGCATCTTTGCCAAGAAAACCCCAAATGGGGTCACAAAGAGTCAGACACAACTGAAACAACTGAACACCACCACCACCACCACATGCTAGTGCATAGAGCTGGGGATAGAAAAAAAAAAAGGTGAGGGGGGAAGGGCAGTCCCCGCCCTCAAGGAGTTCACAATCTAATGGGGGAGACAACAAGCACATACATACAAAACAAATTATATACAGGATAAATAGGAAATAATTAACAGAAGGAAGGCACTGGAGTTAGGAGCAATGGAGGAGGCTTCTTATAGAAAGCAGCATTTTAGCTGGGACTTAAAGGAAGCCAGGGAGCCAGTAGTTGGATTGGAGGAAGGACAGCATCCCAGGCATGGGGGACAGCAAGAGAGAATATCCAGAGCCGAGAGGGATGGAGCGTTTTTTTCGTGCAAGAACCAGGAGTCCAGTGTCACTGCATCGAAGAGTACGTGTTAGGCAGTAAGGTGTAAGAAGACCGGAAAGGCAGAAAAGGGCTGGGTAACAGAGCATTTTCTATTTGATCCTGGAGGCAATCGGGCCTCGCTGTTGTTTACTGAGTAGGGAGTGAAAGAGGGCATGAATGGATCCGTGCTTTAGGAAAATCACTTTAGTGGCTGAACGAGGATGGATTGGAGAGAGAAGAAACTTCAGCCACTCTCCTCATTTTATTATTGCTGTCCAATCATTTCAGTCAGTTTCCTCATCTGTAATATGAGGATAATACCAGCTACGTCACAAGGCTGTTGTTGAGAATCAAATGGAATAGCAGAAATAGTGCTTTTCAGATCTTAATGCACTATATAAATATTAGATTTTATTTTTATTAATCCTGAATTTGAGAGTTCCCAAGTTCTAGTGTTGACTTCCTCAATTGTATTCTCCTTGAAGGAAGAAGGCCACCAATGTGGTCTCTTGGTGAAACTGTTGGAGTAGTAGAACCATATGACGGGAGGCTGGGAGATGTGGACTTTGCCAACCCTCCCACACACATCTGGGAGTTGCTTGGACAGTGTTAAGTGGAAGATGAATGGGAATTAAGCCTTCCTCCCTCTTCTAAAACATGCCTTTGCCTTTTGAAGGAATCTAATAAGTCTAATGGGCTATGCGAGTGCTTTATGTTTCTGTATTTATGGGCCCCTTGGAGTCCTGTACTTTCTGCAGCAGTGGAAATAAAAGCTGTTTCATACTTGATACACATACTGTGCACCGAGTGCCTATGTGGGCATTAGCGACCCACACTTCATTTTAGAGATTTTTCTGGATGGACTCCTGATACAGGCAAAGAGCTAAAGAGAAGAAGTGGCCCTTTAGAGTAGATTTCCCCTCGGACCAATCCCAGCCCACAAGTTCCCAGAACTCTTGTGGAAGGGGCCCTGGGCCTTGGGTGACATCTTGTTAATAGGAAGGCTAATGCCTCATCAGGCATGGAAGTGACCTGGCATTCTCCAAAGCTATTTAGGCAGATCACAAACTTTGCTAAGTGCTCTCAAGATAGAAAGTTTTCAAGTATAGGTCTAGCAATGAACAACAATTTATTGTCTAAGGATCAGATTAGCAAAGAGTGGAGTCAGGCATATCTCTAGTTCTGACTTTTAGGTGCCTAATTTTTGTCACCATGACTGATTAAAAGAGTCGACTTATTTCATCATAATTTCAACCCTCAAAAATAGAGGAAGTGACTAGAGGAGCTTTTATTCAGGACCTGATTTTGACCATTTGGGAGGGACCAGCTGTTGATGTGGACATGTCAAGAATCATAGGAGTAAGGTTACTTCTTCGGTGTCAACTATCTCACGATAGAGAATGAGAGGCAAACTAGGCATGGTTTAATATGTACATTGGGTCTCAAGGGATTAGAGAAAGATTGGTAGGATACCCTGGCCTAATATTTTGCTGAGGAAGTTGGCCCAAGAAGGGGGAGGTGTTTTCAAGAATGAATTTCTGAAGATCCAAGCAAACTAATCTCACTTCTATTTTGACAGTATATCTAAATTGCAGGATCAGAAGAATGTGGCAAAGACAGCATATTTAGATTTCAGCAATGCATTTGACAAAATTTTTCATGCTTTGTGGATAATATGGGAAGATGATGATTACAGGACAGAAAGTTAAGTGGGTTCCAAACTGATTGAATGATTTGTACCAAAAGAATAGTTATTAATGGGCTAATAATGTCAACTTAGAGGGACATCTTTAATGTAGTATCCCAATTTTTGTCTTGGTGTTTTCCAACAGTTTTGTCAATGACTTCATCAATGCCAAAGAAGGAAAGCTCAAATCAACAAATGTATACATCTTCTTTGTGCCCGGCACTTCCCTAAGTGCTAGGGATTTAAAAAAAAAAAAGGTGAAAAACAGTCTTTGCTTTCAAGAAACTAACTCACAGTCTAATGAGTGAGACCATGCAAACAACTATGAACCAATAAGTTATAGACAGATAAAAGTGAAAGTCATTCCAGAGGGAAGGCACTAAGATTGAGGCCTGGGAAAGGCTTCTTGCAGAAGGTGAGACTGTAATTGAGACCTGAAGGAAGCCAAGCAATACAGGAGGTAGAGTTAAGGAGGGAGAGAATTTCAGGTATGGGAGCCAGCCAGTGAAAATGCCAGAATAGGGAGATGGAGTGTCAGTGTGAGATGAACATCATGGTAGCCAGTGTCATGGGATTGCAGAATACCTCCAGGGGAGTAAGGCAGTAAAGAGTATAGTTGATGTGAAGCTAGGAGGGATTGGTAGTACCTGGTCACTGAGTCAGGATCCAAAAAGATTGAGAAGTTACAACTATGGGTCAAATCTAATAAGATAAAACTTAATAGTGATCAATGGTAAGTTCTATATTTGGGTCCAAGAAATAAACTTCCTAAGGTGAAGGATGGTGAAGTTTGGGTAGAAAGTGGTTTATTGAAAAATATGCACTCTGATAAATAAAGCATGATGTCCGAAGGCTGATGGTAAAACACACCTCCCTAAATAGAGGTGGCATTACTTTTTAACAGGTGTGGAATGAATCATATATCCTCAGACATGGCTGAATGTTTACTTGTTTTAACTATATTCATGTGTTAGAAGGTAGGGTTCTATTGAGTATGAAGAGGTCATTAGGAAATAAGGGACAGAAAGGAAACCAAAAATAGCAGCAATAAAATATTTAAAAAGGAAAAAAGAGAACAGAAACTAAAATGCTCTGGGGGGTTTTAGTGTAAGCTCAGTATGAATCAATAGTCTAATATGGCAGCCAAAAAAAACTAATGTGGTTTTGGGCCACATTAAGAGTGCAATGGTGTCCAAAATGAGGAAGGTGATAGTTCTATCATGTTCTATCCCAGCCAGCTCTTGGATTGATTTCTGGACACCACATTTCAGGAAGGATATTGATGATCTGGAGAACAGTCAGAGGCAGGTGATCAGCATGCCGAGAGACCTCAAGACCATGCCATATAAGGAAATGAAGGAATTAAGGATGATTGGCCCAGAGAAGAAAAGATTAATAAGAGACACAATAGCTGCCTCCCAGTACGGGGAGGGCTCTCAGATGGAAGAATGTAGACTTAATTAGCCTGGCCCCAGGAAACTGAACAAGGAGCAGTGGGTAGAATTTGCAGGAAGACTGAGGTTTGAAGTAACAAAAAAAACTTCCTAATAGTTACAGCTGACTGAGAGTGGCATGGGATCTCAATCAATGAACAAATATTCATGAAGCATCTCCTACGGCACCAGTCACTATGCCAGGCTCTGGGGAGACAAATACAAAGAACGAAAAAATCCCCCCTTGTAAGGAAGTGGTGGCTTTCCCCTTGGTCTTCAGAGAGAGGCTGACCTCCTGTCTGTAACGTTGTGGAGGGATTCTTGGTCAGATATGTGTTGGACTTCATCAGTGGTTCTGAAAGTATTGTCCAGAGACCTCTGGGAGTTCCCAAAGACACTTTCAAAGGGTCTATGACTCAAAACTATTTTAATAATAATACTGAGATGTTTTAATTTCTAATGTGGTAAATATTGATAGATATAACTGCAGGGGGGGAAGGGGCTTCAATCATTTTTCAGAGTCCCAAAAACAAAAAATTAGAGAACTGCTGAACTAAACGGTTCCCTGGCTTGCAATCCTTATCTGTGAAGGACATACCCATGCTGATGAAATTACACATCCTTAAGGACTTGAACTAAGTGTTGCTAGCAAGGAGAAGGCAGTTGGAAGGAAGGGAGGTAGGTATCAGCTCCACACCACCAAGTTGTCCCTTTGTAGGGGGCAGAGGTTGAGAGCGGGAAAGGGGAGCAAATGTTTTAAAAAGAATTTGGCACAACGCCTGGCACTTAGTAGGCACTTAATAAATGCCTTTGACTTGAAACAGGGAGGATGGAGAGAATCATGGAGACTCACAGAAGAGATGGCATAGAGTTGGG